GCTAGCAGATTGGTAAGGTGTGTATCATTCTGGTGTAGTCTTCAGTATATTCACCATGGCGCTGAGGAAGTGAGGGTCATTCCTCCTCCGAAGAATCAGTCTGATGGGGTGGTAGAGCTGAAGCAGAAGGAATACCAACCATAGTACCCACAATAAGTTCTAGTATATGTGAAGTATGAGTCGCCTCTACACCGGATGCCTCCTGAAGAGGTGGAGTTGTGAGACTCTTGAATATTAGTCTGAACACTATCATTTTTAGATAATAGTCCATCGGTATTGTTTTCCATGGGGTTTGAATGTGTCAGTATCACATCAGTCGCAGTAACATTAACAACAGTGTCATGGGGGGTCCTCAGGGGCAACAGACACCTCATGTCTGGTAGTATCCTCCCCAGGTGGATCTAAAATGTCCAGAGCAGTGGGGTTAGACCCATCCTTATTCACTTGAACCTTAGTTTTCAAATTTGGATGGAGTCTGTGAGTCTGTGACATTTATCAACTGTGACATTTATCAAAGATATGACCAAACATCTTACAGTGCGTACAATATAGGGGTCTGTGTTCTATGACGATTTGTTGTCAATATCCATTGTTGGTTGTGCCCAGTCAGGCTTCAGTAACATCCAGTAAAGTAATATCCATTTCCACAAGTATTTTGGCCACCGAGGGTCTGGTTATGTTCATAGTAGGCAGATCTTGCTTCAAAGTATCCCCTAGGATGTCCCCAATAGAGTAGAGAATCTCATGGTGAAAAAAATGCAGCTTGAGATCAGGTAAATTAAACCATACCGGTACAGTGGGAGTTTCATGATTTGGGTCGAAATCAGAAGACCACTTGAGTAACTTCATTAATTTTCCTGCAATATTAAGATATTTCTTGGAGAAAATTCTGGTGTAGTCTTCAGTCATCGTTAACTGGATCAACACATGTCTCTCATCCATAAATCTCACTTTTCAGTTGTCTATTAGCTTAAGATCATCTACACTCTTAACATACATAGGTGGGTGTCCCCACTGAAAATTTTCAATAATAGCAAACTTGAATTTTTCTGTTATGTTAGAAATTTCTGAGTCAGAGAAAAAGATTTTTGTTTTTTCGTCTTTCCTACTTCTCTTCTTAAGAAAAGGACAATCATATGTATCATCGCGACATTCCTTATAGTTTGAGGAGAATACCATCGCGAACTACACCTGAGAGTTACCCGCCACGTGGGCAAAGGAGGCCTTTGCCGGTTTAGCCAAAGAAGAAGAAAGTGTCATCAGAGCAAGGGGATGTGTCAGCTGTCACCTGCAGCGAGAAGCTTGCGTTGGGCTGGAGAGAAAGACGGGCGCAGACGCAAAATAGAAGAATTGTTGTCGGCCCGGAGAGAAGCACGGGCGCAAACGCGAACAGAAGAAGCGTCGAAACAGAAGGAAAGAACCATCGGGCTCGGAAAGCAAAAGCGCAGCGTCGAAAGTTGACACTGATGCAGACGCGAGTCAATCTGCGAAGCCGACGCAGACGCAGACGCAGACCGGAGCGAGAGTCGAGGAAACGAGTTGCGAGCCCCTTTCCTTAGAGCGAGCGATAGAATCAAATGCGAAGGCAATCTCCGTTGAAAACCCTAACAGAGTTCAAGCTTTAGACCGCAACCGACATTGTGATATGTATATATGCATAGCCATATATAACATAGCCTGATCATGTCAGTTCATATATCGTAAAAAAAATAAACGTTCATTCATACATTCAATTGCAGGTATCCTGTACAATATGCAAGAAGTTTTAAATGTATTAGTGTCAAAATTAAAATCATATAATAACATATAGAAGATTATTTTTTCTTAAATTAACATTAGATTATTTTACCTAACTTGATGGAACAACCTTACAACGAGTGCCCACACGCTTGTCTCCAGCTCGCCTCCTCGTATAGATAGCTGGGGCTAGTAGACAACACATGATTTCATTAAATTTGTCTCAAATCATGAATTAACCCAAAATGTACTTTAATTGCCAAAACATACCTTAACTGGGCTTCTCAGCATAACTAGTTCGTCCAAAACTGCCTAATTTCCTTTTAATCACCTCCAAACCACACCTCCTCTATGTTGATTTCGGGCTAAAACCCTTACGAAAGCTAACAAAGGACTTTCGACATTTTCGACACACAATCAGCGTCTTCGACGGGTATCGGAAATGATATTTGCACAAAAAATGATGCAAATGTCAAAACGGAAGTGGAAGAAAATGAAAGTCACAATTGATGTGACAGAGGTATTTGTACCTTTGATTTCGTTTCGGAGCTCACTGCCCTAACCTTAGGCTCCTAGAACCGTCGCTCGACTCGTCTGTTCACCCCTTCATTGTAGCAAGGATCAAAGGATCCTTTCTGCCGAACGAAGCGGAGACATGGAGGGAAATAATGCGGCAGTTAAGGTGATTTTAACGAGTTATTAGCCGTTTGATCTTATCCAACCAATGCATGCGTGTGTAAGTACAGGAGGAGTTGGTGGCTACAGCGAAGGATATGGGACATTTGGAAAAGTTTATGATTAATTGAGGTTTAAATTAAGTTAATTATACTCATAACTTTAACAATTTATATCTCTCAATTTGTTAATAATTTATTTAGAGTGTTTTATATTGAATTGATCGATTTCATGCGTAGAATTTAATAAAATTATTTCAATTGAATTTTGGAGATGTGAAATTTGGTGTACTCTTTCAATTGTGTCGAACTTTACCTGTTATTTTGAAATTTGGGCGTTGCATGAACTTGACAATGCTAAATTTTATGATCGTGGAAAGGAGTGGTTACTTATTCATAAATTGTTATGATTGTTTACATATTATGAAATTATTATAACAAAATGATTACATCACATTTATTTTTGTAGCTACTTTCTCAATTCTTTTGTTGGCATTGTTATGTAATAAGTGAATTTTTTTAATTTCTAAAAATTGTAAAGAACTAATCTACTCATTTCTAGCATACTTGTTGAACCCGTATAAATCTATGATCATGATGTAAACTTTAGGCATTATGACGTATAAATTTGAGCATTAAGACGACTTTAATGTTTTCAATTGAGGTGAAGTTCGATTTTGTATTGGTTGCACATAGATATTCTGATGATAGTTGCTTTGTGTTGACATTTCTGCTTGATGATATGGAATTTGTGGAATGGTTAATTGATTTTTGTTCTGAAGGACGATGATTAAGATGATTAATGCACGAGATGCTGTAGCATTTCCTACTTGGTAAGGTGGTCATAACGAAAGTTGCTTAGCTGGTGTACTTCCTTTATTACACCCTCTTACTTCATTGAAACTAGTGCCTCATTATAAATTGGATGAGCTGCTAATCACTCTTATTGATTTACATGTTCCTTTCTTTTACATATGGTTTTTGATTTATACACCTCAGGATTTTATTTATTTATGCTCTTGTCTGGTCTTCTGTGTAGATTTCAGTTTTCACATCCCTTCTTGCTTACCTTGTATTGCTAATAATTATTCTATGAAAAAAAAATGACCCAAAATATTTCAATTATTGAAATATTTGGCTCTCAAAGCTAATTGTTGCAAGCAACATAACTGCGCAGTGGCAGAGTAGTCATTTATCCAAAAATAGGGGTAAATCACTGTTTTCCAAATGCATAAACCAAACAACTAGACAACTTATCCAGTTCAGGGGCAAAATGGTTATTTATCCAGAAACAACTGCAAATTAATTATTTTCCAAATGCATAAATCAAACAGTCAGTCAGCTTATCTGGATAAGAGCTACCCCAAATAGATCCTAAATAAACGAAAAAAATTAGGCCAGCCAATTCAATTCTTAATTATGTTCATTCTATTTACTTTTATCTGATAATTTTTATCTTCTCTATGTTTTAATTGTTTGTTAAATTGACTGGTTGGTTTATTTAGATGACACTTAATTGAGCATTTAAATATGTGGATGATATTATAGTACTTGGTATCCTTATATAATCCAAGATCTCGTGGCCTACAAACCCAAGTCTTTTTTTATTTTCCATTTCTAGTTGCAAATTTTCTTTTATTACTGTATAGTTTGCCTCAGACAAATTTTGCACATGTGATTATTCGTCTATTTTGTATTATATTATCTTGATTTCTCCGGGGAAAAATCCATGGCAAATGCATTTTACCTATAAATCATTTACATATCTTCTCATCATGTTATATTAGCTTTGCATTGCAATACAATAGACTTTGATATGTCTGGGTCAATGATGGAAGTAGGAAAATAGGTGGATCAACCGATGGACTTGCAGTTCTCTATGACCACATGGATAGAAGAAAAGAGCGAGAGGGCAGATTTTATGGATCTTCGATGGTGGAGGCTCCCCAATGTTAAAATTTTCCTCATTGTTGTCATGCCTAGAAATGATTTCTATGGCAGTTTTTTCCACATCGTGGATTGGTTGTCTCCATTGCTCACCACTGTCACCGATTTGTCTCTTTGTGATGTTTCCTTTCGATATTGTCTATTGGTGCTGTCGCCCTTCACCCATATCCGACGCTCGCAGGTAGGGTCCCCCTTAAAACATCCCATCTATAGTTGTTCGTTTCCTTGCATCATAAGAATCGAGACTAGAGCGAGATTGAGAAAGTGGTTCTTTCGATTTACGGTAATTGTTGGAAGGCCTTCACTTTTTTCAGCTTGGTCTTATATTCACTTTTTATGTTAATCCAAATTTGACCTTTTTTGGTTTTGGTTTACCTTTTTTCGAAACAAAGTTGACCCAGACACTTTAAGATATGACCTGAAGGCTTATGTTTTTCACTCTTGCTCTTCTTCCTCATACGTATAAGTTTTCTCAATTTGTTTAGAAGTTGAATATGATATGATTGGAAATTAATAATGTTTAGCTAGTAGGTGTTGTGCAAAACTTTTTTTTTTTTTGAACTCGTAATCTATGCAATTTTACATGCTATTTCTAAAAACCTTGTTATTATTTCTTATTTAATTACTTTTTTGTTATTTCAGGAAGAGGAAGATGTTTTCTTTGTTTTGTTCTGTATCGGTATTAGTAATGCAAAATTTGCATTGAAGCTAGCAGAGGAGTTTGCATCACTGGTAATATGTGTCTTCTATATTTCAATTAAGAGATGTGTTCATTACCTAGAAATTTTAAGTGTCATATGTTTACATGTAAACTTATCCATTTGTTTTTTTTGTTTTGGGTTGGAAGTTTCGATTAAATTATAATTTATTTTCCTTGAAATTGATCATTTCTTTGTAATGATTCAGTTTCATCCTCCGTATATAGCGGTTAAAGTTTGATTCTCATGATGTTTAATTTCATAACCGAATGCTGCTAGAAATCTCTTCAAATTTTTTCTCAAAGTTGGTACTGAATTTCCTGCCGAAAACGTTAAGATATTTATAGGGAAAATAGGACTCAACTTCCCGTGGAAGTTAGAAGAATGATAGTTTTACTCTTTATGCACGTTATGTGACTTGGAATAACTAATTCATAGGGTTTGGGCTCAAGTTGCATTGAATTGGATGACATTGCTTTTATTCTTTTTTGGAAGTGTCAGTTGTAAGCTTTATTTATGTCCCTATTCCCATATGAATTAGTGTTGGATAAGTTGTAATGATTTTTCTGAGTTTTGACGAGGGATATCTTCACTATTATTCATGCCAAAACTTATTTCATTATGACCAGGTACTTGTTTTTATTAACTTGAAGATTGCAACTTCAATGAAAATGACATTTTTTTGTTATTTTTATATAAACAACCTAGATAGCTTGAAATAACAAAGAAAATAAATGCATAATGTAAACAAAAATGAAAATAACTGCCCTACCATATAAACTAGCTAATTATTAATACGATTGATGATGACGATGATGACAATTAGTTCTATATGCAATCCATCGTCATGATTGTGATCTTTTTTCCTTGAAAGCTGTTCAGTGGTTTTGTCTCTCACACTTTGTGATGCTTTTGGGTGGAAGATAACATGAGAGAGAAAACTATGTTTGATTCATTTCACAATTCATTTTTTTTGCTTGAAGAAAAACAATGGAATTATGTATACTGCAAAAGGATACAGCTACCAATCATAATTATTCAAAATAGAAGATGAAGCAAAAAAAAGGTGCCAGAGAACTAAAAAGCTGGTGAATGAAAAAAATGGTAGCAAAACTAAAAAAACGTGAAATAAAAAAGTGGGTGTGGGTTAAAATATATTGGCGTTTTCATACACCACAACCAATTGTGGAATGATACTAAATCAATGTACACTCTACAATACATAAAACTAAACATGACACGTAATGACCCTAACACACCAGGATTTACATGAAAGTAGAATAACACCACCTCACCTTATTTTAAAGACTTGCACTTAAGACTTTCATAGTTATAATATGGTTGATACTAGAGACAAATATTAGATCTTGAAATACTAATTTAGCTCCAAAATGTTCTTACATCACGTCCCCCAACTCAAAAGATTTTGACACAGGCGAATAAAGAAAGCCTAAGGACATATGTTAGTAGATGATAACAAGTTATTGTAGTAGCTCCATGTCATCTCTAATCATTGGAAGGGATAGGATTTCTCTGCTGAATAAAGAAATCACGAACTTGCCATCTTACATGAGATTATTTTTTATAATGTTAATAACATCAGTGATGCTAATATGGAAATACAAACCCTAAAACTAAACAAGACACGTAATGACCCAAACACACACCAGGATTTACATGAAAATAGAATAACACCCCCTCACCGTATTTAAAAGAATTGCACTTAAGACTTTCATAGTTATAATGCTGATACTAGAGACAAATATTAGATTTTGAAATACTAAATTAGCTCCAAAATGTTTTCTACATCACGTCCCTCAACTCAAAAGATTTTGGCACAGGCGATTAAAGAAAGCTAAAGGACATATGTGAGTAGATGATAACAAGTTATTGTAGTAGCTCCATGTCATCTCTAATCCTTGGGAGGAATAGGATTTCTCTGCTGAATAAAGAAATAACTAAATAGCCATCTTACATGAAATATTATTTTTGATGATAGTAATAACATCAGTGATGTTAATCGGGAAATACAAACAAAACAATTAGCAATAAAATTGTAAACAAGTTCATGGTAAAAAATCAGTTCTACCAAACTAACTTCAGTATCCATTGAAAGACCAAGTTCATCTGTATTAAAACTCATGTTCCTAATAATCTCATATTTTCATATTATCTAAGTTTTTATGGCAGTCAACTCTTCAACATTCTCATGAGAATTTGCTCATATCTCATTTTTTTAACAGCATATATTTCTTATAAAACTCAAAAAATTCTTTATAAAAATTAGCACTAGATTTATGTTTCCCATCTTAGTAGATTATTTTGAATTTTGTCGTGTGATCATGCAAGCTTTTTGCAAAAAAATAATGAAATCTTGCTTGGAGAGTGTAAGCATGTGTTTTTAATACTGCGCTGGCCAAAGATGAAGTCCATATTGAAAGGCCTATTGACACCATTTTGGGGCTACTAGAAGGTGTTTGGGAAGATGTAGCAGAGAGGTAGTGGAAGAACGAGGGAATGAAAATATGGGCGGTTGATGTTGTACGGAGAGGGATAGATGATGTTTGGCGGCTGTCCTGGTTGAAGCGAGGTGGACGATGAAACGATGAGGTATGAATGACAAGGAGGTTCACCACTAGTTCATGAGCAAAATACAAACATACCATTTATAAAGGAAGTGATACATCACTCCTTAGGGTAGAAACAGAGAATATAATCTCCAAAGCACACAAAACTATAAATAAACTCAAAATAACAATATATCCACCTTAATAGTCTCCTCACAGAAATAATAAAGATTAGAAATAAATAAATGGGAAAAAAGGAAGGGAATGCGTTTGAAATTTGGAATGGGTGGTATCCTAGGGGAAAAATAGCATTCTACGATTGCGGCGACTTCTTGCAATCCTGTGAAATAGTGTGGAATTTACAAGATGCGTGTTGCAAAATTCCAACGCTCCTATGTTTTTCTCCTGGGCTAGAAAAGGCTTCTTCTTCTCTAGAAGGGCATGGATCCCTTTGTCGGATGTTCTTTCTCAAAGAACACCTACGCAGATTTTCAAAGTTATAACACTCCTATTTGATCATATGTTCACGAGTGCGTTGTTGAACTGGACTGTAGCTTAGTTGCTAGTTTTCTCCATAGAATCTTCTAGATATAACTTAGAAATTCATCATCTCTATCTGAAGTGGTGATATGTTGGGCAACTCTCATGGGGGGTTGTCTTATATATAGTACACCCTCGAACTTATCGCCTTCTTGGACAACCAATTATAGTCTTGTTGGTGCTTCTCTCAAGACCTGCAAAAAAAAATAATTTGTGTTACCACATCCTCAAAAACCTCAAACTCTTTCTATAGCAAGAGTATAACTCGCTTTGCATTTTTTTGTGAAAAATATGTTTTTGTTGCCATCATAATATGTGCAACAGTCATACTACCAAGGAAGAACTAATAGGATGTGACACACATTCATAGGTATCAACATTGATCTTACTCTCTTTTTTCAACAGGATCTGAGAACATGACTGAGAATGCTTTTGAGTAATGAAGCTCAATTTGTCCATCATATGTGTAGATGTCATATTTCATCTATAATGAGGTTGAACAACTTTTCTTTCATGGTACAACCAGTGTGTTATGGCAGAGCTACTATCCCTTACTCGTGGGCTCAATCTGGAGGACCCGTTAATGATTAGCATCTCTCCCTCCTCGATTAGAAGCTAGTACTCCTTTGGGCCATTTCCTTCTCACATGCCTATTATTATCTATGTTTTTCACTGCTCCCTATGAAGTGAATGAGATAACCCTCCTTAGGCATTTATATGCAATGTGCTCAAAACCATAACACTTGAAACATTTCCTACCTGTGATAAATTTTGAGTACTGGTCGTCTCCACTTTTCTTCTACTTCGAACCGATTTTTTCTCTGGCTTTGTCAAAATGGATGCTCTACTAGTTGTACCCTTGTTGCCTGGTCCTAAGGTTGAATTATGTCTGTAAGGTGTGACGGTTATCTGATTTCGTCATCATTTCTCCACCTTCAAGGCTAGAGTTTATATATCAAAGAGAAACTAATACGACTGTAGCTGCACCACATTATTTATGGCTAGCTTTAGTCCTCCAAGATATCTCGCTATTGTGTGTTTCTCTTATTCCAGCAATTTACATTACAACATTAGTTGGTCGAAGTTAGTTGTTTACTCCTCAACATAAGAGCTTATGGCGTAGATTGTGGCATTTTATGAACATGTCTTGTCGGTAGTGTGAGTGAAGGTGATCATATTCTTTTGGTCATGATGTCAAAGGTGTGTCAATTCTCCCACCACAAGGAGGCATTATTCCTTAATTTTATAGTAGCTATCTTTACCCTTTTTGTCCTGTGGAATATCCTGTGGCATTTTATGAACTCGCTTGAATCTATGCTGTTGTCAAATTTCGGGAACTCAATCTTCAATTTAGCATCATCCTCGGATATTCCATGCCAATCATTGTTTTTTAGTTCTTCATCACTAGAATTTCCTGCTTGAAGGGATTCACTTTTTCTCAATCTAGCGAGTCAGTTGTAACTATGGGCGACCTCATTATGTTGTTTTCTCTCAAGGGTGACAACCTATCTTACATTTGGTGGAACTTCGCTGTATATTCTCCATAGTATATTTCTAGACATCTCGTTGTCTTGGATGCATGGCGTTCTTTTCTCCGAATAAGGGTTTTGATGGATGTAGGATTGCAAATCAAAGGTTGTTCGGGGGGCTTTTCGGTATTTGTTGGTAAACGACATGGTGATTTTTGAAAATTTAGAGTTTGGGCTAGGAATTGCGGTAGGGCTAGTTAACGTATTGATATGGTTGAAAATTTAGGTTATGTAGATTTTCTGTTTAGGAGTTTGAATTACAAACCCCTAAAAAATTAGGGTTTGTTGGGCTCTGCTTCCAAATAACATCATTATAGGGCTCTTAGAAGATGTCTGGGAAGAGGATGTAATGGGGATGGAGTTGTGGAATAGTGAAGGATGAAAATATGGGTAGTTGATGATGTTTGGAGGGTTATAGAGACTTTTGGCAGTTGTCCCTCTTGAAACAACAAGGCGGACAACGAAACGAGGTGAGGATGGAGAGGAGTTTCACCACCAGTTCCTGAGCAATATATGGGCACACCACTTGCAAAAGGAAGAACATACATGACTCTTTTGGGTAAAAACTACAAAATACCCATGTACATAGTTTCCTCATAGAAACTAATAAAAATTAGAAATAATAAAGTAGGAAAAAAAATAAAAAGGGGAAAGGAATCTTACTGAAATCAGGAATGGGAGGTAACTTGGGCGACAAATTGCATCCCTCGATTGCTGGGGCTTTCTTCCATCCCGCAGAACAGTACAAAATTTGCGGACCGTGTGGGATCCTGACGTTGTTGCATCTCTTAGGTATTGTATTAATGGAATTTTATAGAGCTAATTTAATAGAACTTTGTTAAAATGTACTTTATGAGGATCAATATGGCTTAGCAGACTCTTCATTCTTCCGTTGGGTTAGTTATAAAATTACGCATAACATTCTAATTCTTAGATTGGTTGTATTTTACCATCAGCATCATCGAGTTTGGATGCGTGGATTCTTCAAAATAATTGTTGGAACTTGGGTGGGTGGTTGGATTTGGTGGAACATGTTAGTTGATTTGATTGGATATTGTTTTTTATTCAAAATCAGTAGGCTCGGTAAATTCTACTTTGACGTTAGCATTAATATTCTTAGTTTTTATATTACTATGAATGACTTGTTTTTTTCATTTTTGTAGCATAAAGAACAATATGTCCTGGCTAGTTAATTTTTATATCTAGGATTTTTTTTCTCATGAAAAAATTCATGATGGATTTATAGAAAGCCTTACTAGTTTATCATCAAATTATAATAATAGTTTCAGACACTCATGATTTTGAATAGAGGCATGTTGATAATATAGCACTATCCCATTTGGGTGAATAATGTAACCAAGTCCTAAAATTTAGGGTTTAGAATCGGCTGTGTTAGGAAGTCTCAGATTTTACTGATTTTGAAGGTCTACATGGATAAATTTAAATTTTTATTCAATAACAAAATTGTAGAGGAAATTAAGTGGTTAAATTGACTACTTTAACGTAAAATAAAAACTAAAACATAGAGAGCAAAAATTGATCAAAGAGGTATAGAGGTAAAATTTGAAAATGTGTGCGTCTATAAAATGACATGCAAATGCAACATAAGAATCCATTTGCTCTTATAATTTGATGTTGGTCTAGAATGAAGTGAACTTTTTTTTTTCTCTCTTTTTCTGATAGAATGAGAAAGAGAATGAAGAATGTGCAGATATACTTCAAGAATAATCCTTCGTCATTTTGTTCTTTTCAATCTCAATCATCTTTTCCATAAGTGATAAAACAATAGGAGTCGATGGACAATCCTTTGCCTTGAATACACTTATGGTGTTGAATCTCCGTTTCTTGGACAATTTACCACTATGAATTAGATCTTCCTGCACTAGATATTGTTAAGATGTGTTGAGTTTAATTTCTCTTTGTTTCTCTGATGCAATATTGTTTTCAAAATCATTTTAAATCCATGGTAATCTTGAATAAAATTTTGACCAAATCTAGCTTTAATTTTCATGTTTGCTGGCTATCAAATTTATATCCACCCATAATTCTTCATATATCTAACACATTTATGCATTTTGTATAGTGATTGTTGCATAGCTATACTACCTGCCTCTTGATAGATCACATTGCATGTATTTATGTAATCTTAATCTTTTATATTTTATTTTGCTAGTTATGATGCAGATTTTTGGCCGCCCGCCCTTGTAATCCTTTTCATTGACTGTTGTATAATATTTTTTTATGTTAAAAAAGTGTTGGTCTCAAGCTTTATCTAGCTTGTCATTAGTGATGTGTGCAATAGTCCTCATCTATTTTTTGTCTCATCTTTTTTGAAATAATAATAATAATAATAGTTATAATAATAATAATAATAATAATAATAATAATAATAATTATTTCTTGTCTTTGTTATGGTAACTGAAATGTTGTCAGTGAAATTTTAGCCTAGTATAAATTGAATTGTTGCATGATGAGTCATTATATTATCTGCTAGACAAGTTGATTTTATGTTTGCTATTTTTGCAAAGCTAGTGGGAATGTGCTAGCAGTTTCTCGTATGCATTCCACACTGTTGTTTTATCACAAATCATTATGAAATTAGTCTCCTTACCGTGTCATCCTCGTTTCAGGTTCAACCATTTAGTGAGGGAGAACTGAGTTTGGATTCTCCATGGGCAGTTGGACATTTGGTGCTAATTATCTCATCTACTTTTTCGAATAAACAGAATATTAATGATATTCCAACTGTTCTATTTTTGTATGCAGTTCCTTTAGCTGGAAGAATCTCCCGGTCATTGGGAGGCTTTGTTAGCCAGTCCTTTCTTTCGAACTATTTGTGTAATCTAAGTGGAATTCATTTTTCATTTGGAATACCTATGTCTGAAGAGACTAAATTAACAGCTATGAAACTTGAGGAAACTCTTGCAGATGCTTTGAATTGCAGAGACAAACCTTGCGACTCATTTTTGCTTTTTCATGATGAAAATATGAAGAGTAAGTTCAAGGAGGATAGGTTAGAACTCTGTCGAGCATCAACTTTATCTGAACAATTTCTGCAGAGTGGAGGGGAAATGGATGATAGATTGACACAGAATATTAAATTTATTTTGGGAAAAGTGCAAGAAACATGGTCTCTTATTCATTCTCATTGCATTCCTGTTGCACTAAGGATCCTAAGGTCCTCTTTTAACAATTACTCTTGTATGGATTAATAAAAAAATTTACATACATGCCACACAATTCTTATATATTTACATATTTAACACCCAAAGTTTGATATTTACATCTATAACACCTTGGTGTCATAAACCTATGCATTAAAAGATGTATTTAACTTTTAAAAAGGTAGTGATGGTTGTATTTTTTATGTGATGTTAAAGATTTGAGTGGCATGTATGTAAGTGTGAATTTTTAGGTTTTTAGATATGTAAATAAATAAGAATTGTGTGGTATTTAATATTTCTATAAATGCCTTCTGATAAATTGTAATTTTTTTTCCTTCTCTCGGCTGTTCATGATGCTTTGCAATCAATTTTCGCAAACAATTTCATGATTTCAAAAACTATTTTTTATTAAGCAGGATGAAACTATGTTTTTAAAATGTTACTTCGTTGGAATGCAGGGCTTGCAAGGAAGAATTGGATTTTATTTATTTGGATATCAATGAATCTGAATCAGGCCTTGTTGCATTTGGACTGGAGTATGTGCAGCTTATCATGCTGTTTGCTGAAATCTGGCAGCAAATACATGTAAAGAGTTTCCATGTGACTGCAATGGCTGCCTTTGATATTCTGATAGAAAAACTCGATGCTTCTCTGAGACGAATTAAATATTGTTTCTTGGGTTTATCAACCGAGGAAGAATCCCATCTCTTAGAGCTGATCCTGGTCAGTCATGTCCTTCGACTGCATAAGTTTGGAAACTTCTCGCCCGACATATTGAAGAGAATAAATTCCACAATATCTCATTTGCAAATTCTTGGCAAAGAAGGATCGAATATATCTGCTTTTGTTAAAGAGGTGAGAAAGTTATCTACCGAAGAGGAGACGGATGAATCCTCTCCAGAATTTCATGTTGATAGGTTGCTTCAATTTTTCCACCTTAGATTGATACCATTCTGTGGGAAGTTTGAGCACATCAAAGCTGATTTGATGACCTTTGGTAATAACTCTGAGAAATCTCTTCGTTTTGTTTCAAGGTTGCCGGTTGGCATCACATTTGATGTTGTTCTGTACAATACCTCACTAATGGAGAGAGTGTGGCTCCAAATGGCTGTTGGTGATGTGTTTCAGTACATATTTATAGATGTTTGTAAATTTAGAGTATGTGATAATGTGAGAAAGTGCACTTTGACTATTCCATTTTATGCAACCCCAAGAGCAGCATCATTTGTATTGAGGGCGTGCATATGTCTGGAGTTTCCAGATGGTGATGTGTTAAATCTGAAGAGAAAAATTGGTGGACCAAAACGTGAGATCATTCAAATTTCTCAGGAAACTGATGTTTACTTCACCGGGATTGGTTGCAGCTGATCATGCAAACAGTGCTTTAGGAGTTCATGCCTTGTTTTTACAATAAAAAGAAAACACCTTCATCCTGAATTGATGCTGTGTGGCTTTTCTCTTTGCCAGTGAAATTTAATTGGTCATATTTGAAGGCTGAATATTTTGATTATGCTGCCATTGAAGCCAAGGATGAATGTTATTCCTCACAAATGACGGGAAAGCATATACCACTGAAGTTATGATTGCTAAAAATGTGCTCTGGTGCAATCATATCGGAATGTAACCAATTATGCAGATTTCTTTTGGAGCCATACATGAAAACTTTTTGGAACTCCCCGTTCAGTTCTATGCTGCAATTGAAGCGCGGAGAAGAGAATTATAACTCCTCCAGGAAGGCGCTTCTGCGGATGCTTCTTTGGGATGCAGTTGTGATTTTTATTTTATTTTATTTTTTATTTTTTGAAAAAAAGGGGCATTTATATACATACCACCCAATTCCTATGTATTTACATATCTAGCATCTAAACTTTTTTTTATTTACATTTATGCCACCCAAATCTCTCACAAAAAATATTACTATTTTAACTTCAAAAATGTGAAATACATGTTTTCATGCAAGGTGGCATAGATGTAAAAATTGAAGTTTAGGTTTTAGATTTGTATGCAAATCGTTAAAAAAAAATTAATAACAATTTCTATTGGGGTGCAACTTTGCTCTGGCATCATGATTCTTTGCAGATGTATATACTGATGCTCCTATACTGATTTATTTCATCCAGATTCTGACTGCTCGGAGACCGTCGAACTGATAGACTCTGGCTTTGTAAAACATCAATTAGTTTTGGCTTCGGTGCGACCTCAATGGTGATAAGAAAGCTACCATGTCAGCTCTTGGCATTATCTATCTTTCGAAGTGGTGCTCTTTTCTTCAGCTTGAAATTTTTCTTACAAGGTGCCCATATAACTATTTATGTAGATATGCTTATTGTCATTTGAACAGAAAAATGACGTCTCTAATGTTGTCACCACGGCACTGAGCCATTACTGAGCATGATATCTTATTTATTTTTCTTCCTTTGTTTTTTCAGTGTCATGCCTGATATATTACTTTCATTTAGGCATTTTTCTTTTCTTCTCAACGTGCTCAATGCAAATTTCCATTTGCCTTGCCCAATTCTTTCCTCTGCAAGTCTATGCCCGAAAATTGTGTTGGTCTCGACTAATAAAGTTTTAGTTCATCCTATAGGTTTAAAATGGGCAATCCAACAATTAATTCTGGAATTACAGCTTAGTTTACGATGCTTGGTTATTAAATTTATTTGATTGTAGTTCAAAAGGCTAGGACAAATGGTTCAAGGAGGACGCTTCTTAAACTCATAAACCTTGCCAAATGACAACCCCAATTATGTTAAGTTATCTTCTGTCCAGCCATGCACTCGTTTTGTCAAACTAGCTATTAGATAATTAGCAGTTTGTTTAAGTATCTTAGTTAAAGTTCTAAATGCTATTAGATAATTAGCAGCAGTTTGTTTAAGTATCTTAGTTAAAGTTCTAAATTTTTTGAAGGAATATAGTTTGTTTAAATATAGAAAATAATATTTTAGCAATCAAATTAAGTAATTTGAGACCTGAGATCAATCAAGCCTATCGAATAATGCAACACCTCAAGCTAAGCTCTAAGCCTTGAATATTGCAGCATTAGTTTTTGCTGAATTGATTGCAAGTTATTTATTGGCGCATATCCATTAATGAATTTCATGGCTGTTTCTGGCTAAGATTCATGTCTTGAACGGCAAACTACTAAATCATACCAACTAAAGTTTGATATAATCAAAATCAGTGTTTGTTAATTTAATTATCAATATTATGAAAGATAATAATAATAATAATAATATAATAATAATAATAATAATAATAATAAAATAGTTAGGGGCTTTTAAATGCATGGCACATAATCAGTCATGGTCTTGCCTGGGGCTTGAAATATTCAAGGCCAGGGCGGATAATTGGAATGTAAATTAATTTTTTTATTGTTATTATTTTTTATCACTAATAATTTATAATCGAAATAAATTGAAAGAGTTACTGAATATAATAATTTAACAGATAAGAAGATTGCCTCTCTGTTTGCTGACAATGCCTTCTGTACACACTTTTCCTAATATTCATCTTTTATTCAAATACTACTTGAATATGTTCAAGCAATATAATGAGTTATGCAATATAATTTTGTTGAGTTTTTACATTTTTAAATTGCAATAATGTATGTTTGTTTTTCCTATTCGATTATGTACATTTATATAGTAATTTAAATATGTATTTACGATATTTATTCATGTAACTAATAAAAAAATTTACATTTTAACTTTAGGTTTATTTTTCGGGGTTTAATATTTTAACTTCACTATATTTTTTACTCTAACTTTTGCATCAATCTTAGGAACGCTACCTAAACGCAACATAACACACATCTGGTGGATGATACACTCACCCTTGATCGTTCTTCTTTCATCACCACAATGCTTCGTGATATAAATTACATGACTGTCTGAGATGATAGTAAATCATCTATGCGCAGTAGTATATTAACTTCCCTAATATATTATATTCATTTCATTCTTCACAGCGCACAATATTTTTTTATATGACAATTTATATTTATTTATCAATGAATGAATGTATCTCTACTAGACTCTAAAGATTGTGAAATAATCTAGTGTCTTTATTGGAAAAATATTACGCAATTATTTATGAAAGTGTTAATATGTATATTTCATGTATCATAATATGAAGAATTAAGTGTAGTCTAATTCTCATTGTTGCATAACGTAAATGTGAAAAAATTGATCTCATGAATATACATTAAAGATATTAAAATGTTACTATAAGTTTTAAACATAATTCTTCATCTAAATTCATTTTAAAGCCTTGATTCATAGGATGAGTTTAATGTTCTTGGTCACTTCTGTTTGCTCTGATAATAATTAACTTATAAATCATAAAACCTAAAATTAAAATTCATGATTCTATAGTTATTTAAATTATTTAATTATCATGATTTACATTTGATTTATAGAGTTATACTTAAAACACCTCTTTCATGGAATAGATTAATTTTTGACTTATTCCATGAGAACAAACTATTTCTTAAGTCTGTAAGTGATATAAATAATTTAAGTTTTTTATTTTGCTATAAGAATATTTTTTGATAATATTATAAGACTCGACACGACCTAGCTAGGCAGCCTGTGAAATTGTATCACTTGCGACCCGTGATGTAGCGTAATTGCTCTCCCACAAACCCATGCTCGCGACTCAGTGACCTGCCGCAATCCAACAGCCTGTGAAATTGTATCACTTGCGACCCATGATGTAGCGTAATTGCTCTCCCACAAACCCACGCTCGCGACTCAGTGACCTGCCGCAATCCAATCCTACCCTTGCCTAACCACAAATCTCTGCAAAAAAGTATGTTTGATGCAGTAACCATTGCCGATCGCCACCTGCCGCTAGTCGTTGAATCAAATTGTTCAAGCTTTTCAAATTTTCTCAATATTTTAAATTACTTTTGGATGATAAGAACAAAATCATCGGAATATAGGGGCAAATGATATGTTATCACAAAATTTCATAATTTGGCAAGAACCTTGAGAAATTTTTTGAGTAAAAAACATTTTGGTTCAAATTACAAATGATCTAGTGCTTAGATTTCAGTAAGTTTATAGACACAATCTTTATCAACAAAACAAATTTAATGATATCAAAATTGTTGAATTTGAGTGCAATCAAGCTTGCATCAAGCTATTGAACCACATTTGGATGCTTTGGATGGTTAGTTGGAGGTTCAAATAAATTCCAAATTTGATGTATCTATAGTCAAATCGAGCGTCCCAACAAGAGGAATCCAACATGCGTAATATCACTCGATTTCGAGTTCATTAAGGCTATCAAATCATAAAAATACCTCTTATGATCAAGTGGAATCAATGTGGGTCGTTCGATCAGGTGGTTATGAGAGTTATTCGCCAAAAGACTGAAATTCCTCCCCCTTGGGTTCTATAAATAGACCCCCTCTCTTCACTTAAGGAAGGGGGAGAAGAAGAAAAGTCAAATGTCAATGATATTTTGAATTGAAGACCCAACGATAACTTTTCTCTTTCATATTCACCGACTAGTGCCGATCAATGTCATCTACCCTCTGCTCATCTTCGTTGGTGAGCTTCCTTGCATATTGATTTCTCCTTGAACATTGTGCAACAAAGTAACTTGAATTTGGTATAACGAAGTTTTTTAAACACGGTGTTACGAAGTATCATGAATGTAGTGTTGCTAAGTATCCTGAATATGATGTAGTATATAACACCAAATTACATATACGACGATAGCAGTTGGAGAAAACCACTTATAATTAGCGTATTCGGAGTACTGCGGATTTCTTCTAACTTCTGAATTTTGCTATACATCATATGCTCACAAGTGTTTACTTTAGCGTAAAATAACAAAACCAAAGAGAAGGGTTGCAGCCATCAATTGGTGTAGCACAATTTACAGACCATGTGGCCAACTGACGTTATCACAACTTTCAATTAAGGCTTTTGTGGATAACTAATGCTCTTGGAGCCAACTATTACGACCTATGTGGTTGATTACTATTGTAGCTTCTCATTACGTCCTACATAACTAATTGATGTCATTACAACCTTCCACTACAGCCTCTTTGGCCAATTGAAGCTCTTGTTGCGATCCACTACGACCTATGTGGGCGATTATTGTTGTACATTCCCACTATGATCTACGTGACTAAATGTTGTCATTACAATCTTCCACTATAGTCTTTGTGGCCAACCGACACTCTTGCAGTGACTCACTACAACATATGTTTCCAGTTAGTATTGTGGTTTCTCACTACGACCTACGTGGCTAACTAATATCATTACTTCATTCTACTACAGCCTCTGTGACCAATTGACACTCTTGCAACGACTTACTATGACATATATGACAAACTATTATTATTAAAACTTTCAACTAAGGCCTCGTTGGCCAACTGACGCTCGACCTATTACGACCTATATGACCATTTACTATTATTGTGGTCTACATGGCTGATTGTTGTCATTACAACCTTCCATCATAACCTTTTGTGGATAATTGATGCTTTTACAATGGTCCATTACAGCCTACGTGGCCAGTTTCCAACTACAGCTAACATGACTAAATGTAGTCATTTCAGTCTTCTACTGCAGCCTCTGTAACCAACTAACGGTCTTACAACAACCCAATATGCTTTATATTGCCAGTTACGATTTTAGCTCCCCACTACGGTCTACGTGACTAATTGTTATCATTACAACATTTCACTACAACCTCTGTGGTCAATTAACACTCTTGGAACGACCTACTATAGCTTATGTGGACAATTGACGCTATTACAACTTCCAACTAGGGCCTCTGTGACCAACTGATGCTCTTGTCGTGACTCACTACGGTTTATGTGATCAGTCATTATTGTCGCTTCCCATTATAGCCTACGTAACCAACTGTTGTCATTACAGTCTTGCATTATAACCTTTGTGATCAATTGACGCTCTTGCAGCAACCTATTACGGCCAATGTGGTCAATCACAACTGTAATTTTTCACTACGACCTACTTGGTTAACTGTTGTCATTACAACCTTCTACTATAGCGTCTGTGGCCAATCGACCTTCTTGCAGCATCCTATTACCCATGTGGCCATTTACTATTAGCTTCCTATTACGGTCTATAGGATCAATTGTTGTCATTGCAGCCTCCCACCAAAACCTCCGTGATCAACTGTTATCATTGTAGCTTTCCACTAAGATCTATGTGATCAACTGATGTCATTCCAGCCTCCCACTTCCGTGGTTAATTGTTATCATTGCAGCTTCCATTAGGGCCTATGTGGATAACTGTTGTCATTGCTTCTTTGCACTACAACGAATTCTCTGGCTAGCTAACGTTACTGTAGCTACCAACCACGGTCTATGTGACCAATTACTATCTATCTTGCTAACTGCTAGTACAACTTCCAATTGTGGGCTTTGTGGACAACTTACATTATCAC